CTTGCTTATCTGGGGCCTCTTTCCTTTCCACATAAAGTTCGTTATTATTTTTTCCATCTCATTACAGAATGCTATTGGTATTTGGATTGGGACTGCACTATATCTGTAGATCACTTTGGGTAAAATTGACATGTTCACAATATTGAGTCTTCCTATCCATTAGCATGGTATGTTTTCCATTTATATAGGTCTCTTTTGGCTTCTTGAAACAGTGTTTTGTAGTGTTCTTTGTATAGGTCTTTTACTTCCCTGGTTAGATTTATTCCTATGTATTTTATCTCTTTAGGGGCTATTATGAATGGTACTGTTTTCCTTTTAGAAGTTCTCTTTGTTGGTATACAGGAATCCGACTAATTTTTTGTTGTTGATCTTGTATCTAGCCATTCTGCTGAATCTATTAGTTCCAGTAGTTATCTTTTGGCATCTTTGGGGTTCTCTATGTAGAGGATACATCATCTGCAAAGAGGAATAGTTTTACTTCTTCCTTACCAATTTGGATGCCCTTTTTTTTTCTTGCTTTATTGTTCTAGCTAGGACTTCCAGCACAATGTTAAATAGGAGTGGTGATAAAGGACATCCTTGTCTTGTTTCCTTTCTCAGGGAGAATGCTTTCAGCCTCTCTCCATTGAGAATGATGCTGGCTATTGGTTTTGTAGCAGTGCCCTTTATTATGTTGAGATTTTTCCGTTCTAGCCGTGGTGGCATGGTGGGGGTCCATGGGAATGGTGGGGGGTATATGGCGCTTGGTGGGAGAAGAAAAGAAAAAAATGGCATGGTGGGGTCTGGGCAGATCTGGGGGCTGGTAGGAAGGGAAGGGAGGTGCCATTTAGGGCTATACGGGAGGGAGAAAAAAAGGAAAAAAAAAAAAAGCTGTGCTGCAAGACGGAGCATGGTTGGCCTGGCGGGGGGAGCTCGCATTGTGGACCCTGGCAGTGGGAACTGTTGGAATGGGGGGGTTCTTGCTTCTAATCACCAGAAGGGTGTGGGGTGGGAAAGCGTGTTTCTCTGGTTACCGGGTGCTCTGTCTTGTGTTGGGAGCTTCATGAAGTTGCCTTCCTGTACTCCCTGTCCAGGGTCATTGGTGGCTGTGATTCAAGATGGCCACACTGTGCTATGTTACTTTGCAAGGGATCTCCACTCTACATCTCTCCTCCTTCTCTGTTTCTCATCAGTTTCTTCTTCCATTAGGTGTTTGCTCTAGTTCTTTATCCCTTCATTTGATGCTCAGGGTTCCAGGACTGTTTGTGTCTGTTTTACTTAGTTTTTCAGGTCTTTGCTGCAGAGGGGAGGTGGTGCATTTGTCTAGGGTGCCATGTTGCCTCTGCCCCCGTGTGGGTCCATTTTCACCCATTTTGTTGGGCTTTTGTGGATTCTTTCAATATGGAAGCACAGTTTATGGGAAAATCGCCTAAATTATTGATGATTTCCTCCCTTCTGTTTTATTTCTCAAACTCTTATTATTTGATTCCTTAACCTACTGGACTGATATTCTAATTTTCTTGCTTCTTCTCTCCTATTATTGATATTGGAGGTTTGAGTCTATCCAGACGTGTCTCAGGAAGAAACGCTTAGCAATCTATTTCTACAAGTTCTCCAATCACGAAAAGCAAGTAAAGAACTGCAGCAATGGTCAATCTGGTTTTCACCTTTCTCTGCTTCAGTAACTCTCTCTGCTTGCTGCAGCTGTCACAGGGGTCCATCTTCAGGCTCAGCTGACTGTTGGTCAAAGCTAAGTCCTGGTCCAATAAGGATCGTCGTCGGCCTGAAGGGCAGGGTGCGCCCGGTTAACAGGCCTTTCCGGGACTTCAGGCCCATCATCGGCCACCACAACTCGAAGTTTGTTAAACCGAGAAAGCCTCTCGTGCACCACCTCATCCGAGAAGTCAACGGCGCTGATGTCATCTAAAAACAGCAGCGCATCATCTTTCCTCAGCAGAGATTTGAGGCGCTTCCCCGCGCCGGCTCCCACCATGGCAGAGGCTGCACTGCCGAGGCGCGCGGAACAGCCAGGTGCAGGCCGACCACCGATGGCTACTTCACCGGAGCGCCAGTTCCCGACAGTAGAGCCGCGCGTCCCTCCCCACCCCGCCCGAGGCGAAGCCCCCGATTCCTGCATGGCCTCTCCACCTCCCCAGGCTGAGACGCATCTCGAGTCTTCCTATTTTTATTAATCTTTTTTAAGATTGTTTTTTCTATTTGCAGTTCTATATGAATTTTAGGAATAACTTTTCCATTTCTGGAAAAAGGCTGTTAGAATGTTGACAGAGATTGCCTTGAATCACTAATTTACTTTGGGTAATATTGACATGTTAACAGTATTGAGAGTTCCAGTCCATGAACACATGATGTTTCCAGTGATCTAGATCTTCCTTATTTTCCTTCAACAATATTTTATAGTCTTCATTATACAAGTATTTTCCCCTCTGATTAATTTTATTCCTAGATATTTTATTCTTTTATATGCCATTGTAAGTGGGAATGCCTTCTTAATTTTCTTTTAAGATGCTTCATTGCTGATGTATAGATAAAACAACTGATTTTTGTGTGTTGTTCATGCACCCTACAACTTTGTGAATTCATTTATTAACTATAGTCGCTTCTCTGTGAATTCTTTAGGATTTTTCATATATATAGGATCATATCATCAATGAATGAAGATAGTATTTCTTTTCCTTCCTGATCTGAATGTCTTTTAATTCTTTTTCTTGCCTAACTTCTCTGGTTAGAACTTCCAGTCCAGTGTTGAATAGCAGTGGTGAGAGAGGGTATTCTTGTCTCATTCCTGATTTTAGAGGAGAAATCTTTCAGTCTTTGTTGTGTATGATATTTGCTGTGGGTTTTTCATAACTGTTTTAATAATGTTGGGGAATTTCCCTTCTATTCCTAGTTTCTTGAGTGTTTTATCATGAAAGTGTGTTGGATTTTGTCAAGTGCCTTTTTGCATCAATTGAGATGATCGCATGGTGTATTACATAGGTTGATTTTCTTATGTTTCATTTTGGGCAAAATGCCACTTGGTCATGGCACATAATCCTTTTAATATGCTATTGGATTTGGTTTGCCAGTATTTTGTTGAGTATTTTCAAACAGATGTTCATAATGGATATTGACTTTACAATAGCCAAAAACTCATGGCTTTAAAGTTATCTGTAGACTAACAACTCCTAAATTTATGTCTCCAGGAAGGACTACTCGCCTGGATTCACGACTTGTGCAGTTAATTGCCCACTTGACTTCACTATGTGGATGCCTAACAAGCACCTCAAACTAAGCATACTCCAAAATACTACACTCACATCAAGACTTTGCCCACAGTCTTTCCTCCCACAGTTGATGGCAACACCATTCTTTTAGGTATTGAGCAGTTTTCTCTCACTGAGCATCATATTTGCTTCCTCTCTCTTTTTTTTAGCCTTAGATCTTTTTATTAGTGTAGTCTGTGCTGCAGCAAATACTCCTTGTTACATTTGGGTAAATAACACAGGAGAAGTAGAACAAGATATACATAGAATTAGACAGCAAGCTACTTGTTTACACACTGTAACACTCTTACAACAGATTTGTTTTGTTGGTTACCATCAGGAATAAATACATGGTCTAGATCAGTACTGCAAGGAATAGTAATAGTCTATATCCTGAAAGTATTGGGCATAATAAAATTTATCCTCTATTGTCTTGTACACTTAAAAGGCAAAGAAGGCTTCAGGCTAAAACGTTGATGTACATTGCATCTGCTCACTCCAACAATACAATTGATGAGAACATCACTCTTTCTTGAGATCCTGGTGAAGAACCAGATGTTATCCTGTGGAAAACCAGCACCATGAGTTTAAAGAGCCTGCAACGGCCGCCATCTAGGAGCTCGACTAAGTCCAGGTACTGATCATTGATATGCTATCTCCAAACTCTGATCAAAAGGAGGGAATGATTTAGGAAATAATATTGGAGTCATTATTCCCTGTCCTTGAGCATAGAGAATGTGACCTAGCTGGAGCTGGGCTCACAATGACTCACAAGGACACATCAACTGGGCCCTGAGGTATAAAGACAATAGCTAAGATAATCTTGGAAAATATCTTTTTTAAATTTTTTCTCATACAAAATTTATCCATACACTGTTATGTGACTCTAATTGCTCTCCCAATACTGTGACAAACACATTCCTCCTTTCCACCCCTGATTCCCCATGTCCATTCAACCAGCTCCTAACCCTCTCTGCCTTCCCATCTCACCTCCGGATAGAAGCTGCCCATTTAGTCTCTTGTATCTACTTGAGCTAAAAGGCACACTGCTCACGAGTATCACTTTATGTCTCACAGTCCAGTCCAATCCCTGTCTGAAGAGTTGGCCTCGGAAATAGTTTTAGTTCTGGGCTGATAGAAAATCCAGGGGCCATGCTCTCCAGGGTAACTCCAGTCTCAGTCAGACCATCAAATCTGGTCTTCCTACTAGAATTTGAGTTCTACAACCCACCTTTCTCCTGCTCCATCTGGGACTCTCTGTTGTGTTCCCTGTCAGAGCAGTCATTTGTGATAATCAGGCATTGTCTAGTTCTTCTGGTCTCAGGCTGATAAAGTCTCTGGTTTATGTGGCCCTTTCTATCTCTTGGACTACTACTTTCCTTGTGTCTTTGGTGTTCTTCATTCTCCTTTACTTCAGGTGGTTGAGACTGATGCATCTTGAATGGCTGCTTGCAAGCTTTTAAGACCTCAGATGCCACTCACCAAAGTAGGATGCAGAACACTTTCTTAATAAGCTTTGTTATGCCAATTGACCTAGATGTCCCCTGAAAGCATGGTCCCCAGACCCCTACCCCTACTACTCTGTCCCTCAAAGTGTTTGATTGTATTCAGGAAACTTCTTAGCTTTGATTTAGTCCAGTTGTGCTGACTTGCTCTGCAGTGAGTGCTGTCCTTCCCTTCACATAAGATAATTCTTATCTACTGTCTAGTTAGTAAAGAACCCTCTCCCTCCCTCCCCACCCTCGTAGCCATCAAAGAATGTTTTCTTCTGTGTTTAAACCTTTTCTTGATTTCTTATAATAGTTTAGTCTTAAACAATATTTGTCCTTCTGTGACTAAATTCACTCAGCATAATGACCTCCAGCTTCCTCCATGTTATAAGATGTTTCCCAGCTTCATCCTTGTTCTTTATCATTGTAGTATTCCATTGTGTGGATATACCATAATTTGTTTATCCATTCTTCAGTTGATGGGCACCTAGGTTGTTTCTATCTTTTTGCTATTATGAACAGTGCTGCAACGAACATGGGTGTACATGTATCTATTCGTGTGACAGCTCTTGTGGGCCTGTCTAATCTTTGGCTAAAGTTGAACCTCAGCAGTGACATCATTACTGAGCTAAAAGAGTATCTGGCTGCCATACTCTCGCAGTTTCTCCAGTCTCTGTCAGACCAGTAAGTCTGGTCTTTTTTTGTGAGTTAGAGTCTTGTTCTATGTTTTTCTGAAGCTCTGTCCAGGACCCTCCATTTTGATCCCTCTCAGAGCAGTTGGTGGTGGAAGCCGGGCGCCATCTAGTTGTACTGGATTCAATCTGGTGGAGGCTATGGTAGTTGTGGTCCATTAGTCCGTTGGATTAATCTTTTCCTTGTGCCTTTGGTTTTCTTCATTCTCCATTGTTCCAGATGAGGTGAGACCAGTGGAGTACCTTAGATGGCAGTTCACAAGCTTTTAAGACCCCAGACACTACTCACCAAAGTAGAAAGTAGAACGTTTTCTTTATAAACTATATTATGCCAATTGAGCTAGATGTTCCCCAAAACCATGGTCCCCATAGCCCTCAGCCCAGTAATTCAGTCCCTCGGGGAGTTTGGATATGTCTATGGAGCTTCCGTGACCTTGCCGTGAACAAGTTGTGCTGGCTTCCCCAGTATTGTGTACTATCTTACGCTTCACCAAAGGGGAGGGGTGAGGATGAAAAAACACTAAATAAACAATAGATAAGTGGTAAATTTAGGGGTCTATTGTCAATAGACCTTTCCTGGAGTCATACAAAAGACATCTCCTGCTGTCTCATCACTTTGAATAGGGTCATACATCCTTTCCTCATCAAATTTCTGGTATGGGGAAAAGCAAGTACTATGAGAATCTCAGGCTGACCATGCAGATTGAATTTTCTCTTGGGAAGGAATTCCTGCAACCACTACAAGCATTTAATACAATGCCTGGCACATAATTCTCAATAAAACCCAACTGGGATCATTGTGTTCTATACGTTACTTGTTATTTCTTGCTCTCAAGCATTTCTACCACTTGATTGAACAGTTTTACTGGTTTACCTTTAATGTAATATCTATCAGCAGGTTTTACTAATCTTAATAATATAATCAAATGAATAATTATTCAGTAGGCTGAGTACAGCTGATAGTCTTTTTTGGAACCATATTTACTTTGAGCTTTTCTTATTGATTTCTTGATCAGAGTGTATGTGAGATGTTACTTTTCTCCTTAGTCACCTTACTTTTCAGTTTTTCTTTCTCATATCTGGTGAGTCCACACAGAAGTTGAATAAAAGTAATTAAATCACTAAGGTTTTAGAGGGCTTTCTGTACTCTCAGAGATCTCATGTTAAAATTTTTAATGTGTATTTAGGAGGAAAACACTTTTTCTGTGGGGATTGACTTTATTTTGAAGAAGACGTGTTGAGTGTACAGCAAGACAGCAGAAAAGGGAAGTTGACAGGATCAGGGAGATCACTTTTCCCACAGGCACAAAGAGGGAGGGTCATCAGTTAGAATCATCTCTGTAGTATGGGAGTCCTGTGTGATTAAGTACTTTTGTACATAGCCTTTCTAGCTAGTCTTGTGACTCCCACACAGGTGATTGTGTGGGGCTGTGCAAATAAGATAATTGTGGCCCACTGAGGGGACTGGTCAGATTTGCCTTAAAAGAGAGCCAATTCCAGAGCAGAGAGGGGAGCCCATCACCACCAATGAAGGAGAGACTCACAGCA